GTTTATTGTTTTTTAATATTTATGTATATCTATTTTATCTGTCATTTATTTTTTACTTTACACTGTCATTGTATTATAAAGCTTTCTTGTTTTGTTTATTTTTTTAATATTAATTAATTATTGTGTAATAATAAATTTTTTTGTAGTTGTTGTTTGTTAATAATTTCAATTTAGTATAATAATAATTATTATTAACTATATTTGGCGTTGAAGAAAACCTTTTCTAATACATTTTCATTGTTGTCGTTTTTTTATTATTATTTATGATTTATATCTTGGATAATAATGCAACGCTTTTGTTGTAATTCTTTGATACAGTCAAATACTGTTATGACGAACTTGTAGAGAATTTCGGAAATATATTCGGGTAATTGTTTGTGTATATACCCTTTGGAACGATTGATTTTCATGCGTTCGATTAGTTATAATTTCAATCCACATTATGGGTATATTTTTCTTTTTGCTTTTACACAAACAATTCGATTTTTGAAATACAATTAAATGAAATAAGGTTTAATAAAATCGACAGAGGGAAACATTGTGGATATTGTAGATTCCTTGTTTAGATACGTTTTGAGAAGTTAAAAAATCCTTCAGGAACTCTTGTTTTGACTTACTAAATCATGCGTTCGATTAGTTTTAATTCCAAACCACAGTTTTGGAATATTTATCTATTTATTTTACCCAATCTATTCGATTTTTGAAATACAATTTATGAAAACGAAATACCAAAAATTGGCCTAGGACCAACAAAATACCTAAATTGTGGTGGAATTTTAATATGCGATCTATGTCAAAACATGAACCTATATTAAAAATTTTTCCAAAGAAGTTTTATGCCCAACAAGAATTCGGAATATCAATACCTGGTAAATGTGCTTAACTATAATAAAAAGGTGGACCGGTATATAATTTTCAATGGTTAACATCCTATGAATTATGTCAAAGTATGTGCAAAATTTCAAGGCTCTCCGTTATATCTGAAGGATATACAAATCAACTCTCGCTTAAAATGAGTCAATCGATGAAAATTGTTCGATAAGTTCTTTAACCTGTACGACTAATATAATCTAATTAAGAGCAATATTTCTTTTTAATTTTTTTTCGCCAACCAAATGCGATTGAAATCAGTTTTAGTCAATTTCCTTTAAAAAAAATCCAAGGTTTTTCGGATCAGAATGAATCCAGTGTGGTTATCGAACACAATATGAAAATTATAACCTAAATAGTGTATATGGAACCGTGTTTATCCAACACTTACAATTCAAATAAGACTGAAATCAATAATCAATTGTTATGAAGAAATATTTTGAAAATTCTTAAAAAAATCGGCAAACTTTTCTTAAATATATAGGACAAATACAAATTAGCGCATGTATTGTTTTTCTGAGGAACACCCCTATTCTAATGTTATTCATAGATCTCAATCTGTTGAGAATTATATAATAAATAAAAACAAGTAAAGAAGTGTCAGTCGGTGTTGCCGTCAGATATATACCCTCACCCTATGGATTTATAAATATTGAAAATGTTGACCATTTAAGTGGGAGGTACCAGAAGGAGTTTTCCAATGGGTTTCATATTCGGACATAACTGGTTGTGCAAAGTTTGGTTCAAATCGGACATACCATTCGCCTGATTTTTGATTTAGAAATATTGAAAAATGTTACCCTTTGTGGGGGAGGTGCCAGATGGAGTGGACAAATGGGTGCCATCTTCCTACTTGATCTAGGCTTGGTAAATATAACAGGTTGTGCAAAGTTTGTTTCAAATCGGACATTCCATTTGCCTGATATTGGATTTAGAAATATTGAAAAATTTGACCCTTTGTGGGGGAGGTACCAGAAGGAGTGGACCAATGAGTCCCATCATCCTACCTCATCTAGGCTTGGTAATGATAATATGTTGTACTAAATTTTGTTAAAATCGGATAGTCCGTTTGCATGTTATTATATAATTAATTTTTAGCACAATTTTGACCATTTTGTGGGAGAGGTACCAGAAGGGGTGGGCCGATAATCCCCATCTTCGAACTTAAACTAAGTTTGAAAAAAATATTAAGATGTGCAAAGTTTGGATGAAATCGGTTACTCCCTTCGAGAGTTATCATGCGCACCAGTCAGACACACATACATACGGACGGACATGTGTAAATCGACTCCAAATATTCTGAAACTGAATTGCTCCAAAGAAATGTAGGGTCTAAATCCGTTATTTCGATTTTCACCGTATCAAAGTGTATATACTCTCATTAGCCATAAGGCTGAGGGTATAATAAGTAAAGGTCTGTCCTGTGATATCCTATACAACTGCCAAAAATTTGTCGGCTTCGGCTTCGAGTTTGGCCAAGATTTCGAGACATTTGCTTCTTATAGTGCGGTGTATTGTATAAATACTATAAATCAGGAAACTATAGCCAATATCGGGTACTCCATTGGTTTCACATTAGATTTGACTCTTTGTATGGGAAATACAAGAAGGAGTGGGCCGATTGGACACATATACCCACACGTTTGGTAAAAATCGTGTGACGCGAAAACGTTTGAAGCAAGTTGTATACTCAATTCTTCATATATCGAAGGTATCAGTATTCAACATATTGACTCTATGTCGGCTACAAGAGGGAGTAGGCAGAGCAATATATTCTTTCCACTCTCTTTTTCTTGTTTTATTTCTCAAATATGTGGCTAAAACACAATGGACCAGGAGCCTCAAGAAAAGTGCATCAGACCGTATAATTTTTCACTTGTCTTTCTAAACAGCAGTAAGAAAGGGTGAATGCCTTCAATCACTAGTGAAAGTGGTTTCGTACAACTTGAATCACCTTTTACAGTTTTGCTTAACAATTTTTGACCATAGGAATGTAAAAAGTAGTGGGGAACAACAGCAATACCTATTCAGCGGGTATGGAGAACACAATTGTTTTGAAAAACTTTAAATATTTGAAGCATATTCTGAGAAATATACAAAAAATATATACTTGAACAATTATGGATCAAAGGATTTCATTCTTCAGTATATACCCAATCATAGATTGGAAGATTCCATTTTTGAATATATACACTTCCTAGAGTATATACATGACAAGACTGATTCTTATTAATCTTGATTTGAAAACGCATTAAAATAACTCGATTTAAAATTAAATAACCATAATCGATGAAGTTAATATGTTGAATCACAAAAATGTGTTTAAATTAATGTAATACAAACTATATTAAATATATAATCATCATTTTTTTAAGTTACATTTATCAAATTAAATTTCAAAACATATACAGAGTTTTTATTTTATTTTCATTTTTAATTTTTTTTATTCGAATACAAATATCAGCCATTATTATTTCTATTCATCTTTGTTTAATGTTTGCTAAATTATTAACAAAAAATTAATTAATTTATTAATTTTACTTAATTAAGACATTTAATTATATATGTATGTATATAAAGTTGCCTCAGTTGCAAATATTGAGGAAATTTTATGTGCAGGTAGGTAGATAATTTAAAAAAAGAACTATGAGGAGAAGACAGTATTTATTTAGTTTGTTTGTTGTTGTTTTTTCTTGTTTTAAGTAGAACATAATATAAATTATGAATAAAAGAAACTATTAAGAATAAAATTCAAAAAATAATAACTAAAACTTAAGAGACAATAAAAAATTATACTACAAAAAATAATTAAAAAAACATAATTATGAATGATTTTAAACTTTTACATATTACAAATATTTTGACTTTCAGTTATTTGTATTTAGTATGTGTATGTATAAGACAATAAGTAATTTACAAAATAGAAAAATAATTCTACATTAGGGTGAAATTGGAGTAGATTATAGCAATAGCATAGTTACAACTATATAAATGTGCGAATTATTTTTCTTAAAGTAAAAGCTATTATTTGATGTTTTTTTTTCAATTATAAAACAAAAATAATAATAAAAATCAAAATTATAAAAAAAAACTAATTTTTTTGTCAAAACGCAAAGGAAAAAATTAATTTTTTGGAAAATTATTTAAAAGAAAACAATAAAAATAAAAATGCTTTGGTGAAACTCAGGCGTGATGTTGAGGTCAGATTGATTTGTTTGAAAATAATTATTGGGGGATTTTTAAGTGTAAGGTAATAAATTTGGAGAATTAGAAATTATTGTATAGTGAGATTCTGTTTTTAGTTAAATAGATTCTGCAATATGCAAAAAGTGCATATTTAATTTAAGTATTTAAACAATCTGACCATAATATAAGGGTTTTGCAATTTATTTTGGTTTCCAAATCCTTATTGTAGTCGACTAATTGGAAAATAAAATATTTACGTTCGTAGCATTTAAAAATATCTCTCAAGAGACACAGTGTGGTCCACATTTAGACATGATGTTCAATGATAAGAACATAATATCAAAAAAGATTTTGTCTTGCATTCGAACTGTTTTAATTTTATCAAGGGAATTATAATTGATCTGGTTTGTATCAATGGCATAACTTACCGCGAAGACTTGGAAGGGTATAAACAATGAAAACAGAAAATATTAAATAGGTCTACGAAGCATTCAGGTTGGTTTTCAAGTTGATGCCTTAAAAAGGGGGAAGTTCATAACAGTTAAGTTATACATTTGCCATTACTTAGTTGGGGAATTAGATGTCCAGGAAGTGGGTTAAAATTTGTATAATAATGGATAATAAAGAAGTAAATGGTTCATTCATTGACGAGTACAAACTAACAGTTTAGACTGTCAGATTTTCATTCGATTTATAAGTGTTCAACAACAACCCTGACTATTCAAGGTTTTTGAATACTTTCGTGGACGCTTGAAAATAAATTGTCACACTATTAAGCCAACCAGCAAACTGTTATTTAATAGTGATAGTATTGACTCCATTTTCGATAAGACTGAAGAAGATAGTGATTACCAGCCAGATCAGATTTTTAGAAAAAATTCGAAAATGTGGTAAATTGTAAACATAATGGTTATGGTAAACATAACTTTCTTTTTTCCCCAATTAGTTTCATTCTACATAAGGATTTTCATATTGCAAATTATAATTACCAATAGCATTACGATCTGAGATTAACGAAAACAGCGATAATAGATATAGAAAAATAAACTTAAAACAATTACGAGCAGCATATGGAATAGATTTGTATCTAAGGCGATATCCCACCATTTGGCTATATTTGCATTTTAGGAAGCATTCGTTGCTGCGGCCGATGTTGATGCCGCTTGGCGATAATATATATTTGCCCCCTTGACGGGCAATGGATGAGCTTCAGTATTAAATACCCATTCGTCTAGAGGTATCAGCGAATCATCCGAGAACAAGAGATATAGATACTAAATGGGAAAAAGGAGAAAGAGAAGACAATAATTGTGAATAAAATTCGTTTTTAATATCGACGCCTCCGAACCATAGTATGCTAAGTCTGAAAAGTGAGTTTTTCAGTAGAAGTTTTCAAAGTATTGAAGTTTCTTTAATCGTACGTGCCATACTAAGTACATTTTTGCTTATAACTTTGGTTTGGATTGGCCGATGATTACCAAAATTTCAGTGAATGTAAATTAAGGACCGTAGTATCTAAAAACGTAAAGAACTTTAAAACATGCTAAGTCGACTTAGCATACTATGGTTCGGAGGCGTCGATATGTATATAATTTTTATTTGTTCAACCTTACCTTAAGTGTTTCGGCCAAAAAGAAACTCTGTTGTACATCATCTTTTTGCGGTACCTCCTGATAGACATTCTTAATACCGGAATAACCATGTGGTGTACGACAATGTTGTTCCAAGGCTTGTACAGCATCCCAGCCCCAATCACGATATTTTTGATCGTGCGTCAAACGCCACAGTACAAAATAGCTTTCAACTGTTTCGGGTCTTAGAATATAGTATTTTTCATTTGATTTCAAGGCACGTGCCTCGGCGGCTTCACTGAAGCTGTAATGAAAACAAAAACATGATGGAAAGTTAATAATTTATATCAGTAGTGTTGGCGGCGTATTTGGGATATTATTTATATTTTGTTATAATTAAGGGATATCTTTTCTTCAGAATACTTCATTAAGTTCGGAAGAATTTAAGGAATGTTCAAAAATAGGTTTCTTAGCAGCACACTTCTGTTTTGATAAAGTAAAACATTGTTACGGGGACCAATAGGTCAATATTTCGTTAAGGCCCATAAAAGTGGATTATTAAAAGAATATTTTTTCGAGGCCCATAAAAGGAGTTGATTTTTAAAAGAATGTGTTTTCGAGGTCCATAAAAGGTGTGGATTTTTAAAAGGATATTATTCGAGACCCATAAAAGGCGTGGATTTTTAAAGGAATATTTTTTCGAGGCCCATAAAAGTCGTGGATTTTTAAAAGAATATTTTTTCGTGGTCTATAAATAATCGTTTGCACTGAGGCGAAGTTTTGAGTCCCTATAGCTAACCAAAAATCATGGGATCCTAGTCTTATGCCCTAAAGGATTACTCTCTTCCACTGATGTAGATTTGGCGGTATTACACACTCAATCTCAAATTTCACAAGAGCTGAAATGTAATTATGCGGACTCTAAAATATTACTCCCTTCCACAGATGCAGATTTGGCGGCATTACACACTCAATCTCAAATTTCACAAGAACTAAAATGTAACTATTCACACTCGGAATTTTTAAATGCAACAAAAATCGTGAGTTCTGTCCAATTGCGGCAGAATACGACTTCATTGTCACCGCCATCAGCAATTTCATTCTCTAGTTGACAAGATGTGGGCTCTTCAAAAATGGAATGTACTGGTTGTATGTCGGCTACTGGGCGGACAGGAGATACGAGTGGGTGTCCCAAAGAAACTTTAGAATCTTAGACAGTTGGCTCCAGCACCCAAAAGTGCCAAAGAAAATACTTCGGGTGCAATTTGCTATTGTCAACGATGTGTAGTTAAGAACTGCAACTTGATCAGCGAGAGGAATTTCCTTTGAATCAAGATGCACCTTGAGGCCGTGTGGGAGTATGACATAGACTATCTTCACAAGGCCACTATGGAACTTCAGGTCAATAAAATACCCTCTGCCTCTATGATAATGGGAAGACCTCTATTGAGAAACGAAACTTGACAGTATTGGCAACTCTTAAGTCTTCCAAAGGTGTAGAGACGACAACTCGGTATATAACCAGAGAGTAATCACAAGCCTGACCCCGATGAATGGATCTATTCAATTGTCATCTGAAAATAATTTTTCAGAAGAACGGAGTGGGATTAGCCGGAACAAACAGGGCCACAAATAGTGAAAAAGGAGTCTACTGACTACCTTTTTAAGATAAGAAGTGACCTTGAACCCCTTTGGAAGGGTAGTAAGTTATCTCTTGTATCGGTTGATGAGGTCCCGTGGCTTCGTGGTGGATTCCACCTTCTTTTATTGGAGCTTTATTAAACATTGAAATGTTTTGGAAACAGAACGTAGATCTTCGAAAGAGTGAGTTGAGAGTTCTCATCATTTGCAACGGACAAACCATAAAAACTAAGAAATGGACTAAGAAATTGTTATGACTTCTGGGATACTTTTTATTGAACATCGAATATATTGGTCCACGTTTTGGTATGTCTCCCGTATAACGATACTCTCAATTTTTGATATTGTATGCTTATTTTGGGTTTTAATTGGTTGTCGAATTAACTTTGGTCCACTTTTTTGGGTAGCCACCAACAACTCTAAAAGTACTGTATTTTGGGAGCTCGGGTACGTTTTTTCAACCAAAAATTATCAATCTTGGTCCACCTTCCAGTACCATAATACGGTACCTTCCAAATGTTGGATTTTTTGGGAGCTTGGACAAAGTTTTCAACCGAATTGGCTCTAAATTGAAAATTACGGAGATTTTGGACCAAGTTTATAACGATATGGTGGGGAAGTTGGCTCCAATTTGGGTTTTATTTGGGTATCAAATCTTCTTACTAAATCATTATTAAAATCTATTATAGATTAGGTATATCCTTAACTTTAATTTGTTCATATTCAAAAGATTTCGGTATGTTCAAGTGTCTGTAGTTTTGCACGACATGACACTCATATAAAAATTCCAATCGATTTTAGGATTTTTTTTTTGAATGTGCACCTCATGATGAAGGTAATAAGTAGTTCGATCAGGCTGAACATTACGATATTTTTATTTGATTTCGTTTCCAATAGTTTGTATATATTGTAGTTGAGGACGTTTGAAATGTCGATTAATCACGTACCGGAAAGCTTCTGGTCCTAAACGTGTTGTTGTTCTAATATAACTTTCGTGACAGGTATTCGTAATACCTTTACCAATGCTCATGAATTTCTCGGTATGTTCGTTTTGTCTTGTATTAGCACCCAAGGCAAAAAGGCCACCTATTAGAAAAAAAATATAAAATATATATTAACTTACATGTTAAAATTACAAAATGTATTTACTTACCAGCAAAACAGGCTAAATGATCCATTTTATGTTCCAAACGATCAAATTTCAAATCGGAAACATAGGTTAAGCCATTGGGACTTGTGCGCACCATTTTATCAATAATGGCAACCATGGCATCGTCAAACATTTGTCTGGCTTCTTCGTCCGTTTGTCCAGATTGTATCCAGGCTTTTAGGAGATATTCATAGAAACTGTCACCCAAGGCGCCCAGAGACATGTGTACTGAAATTTAAAAAGAGAGTTATAAAAAATATTTTCGGAATATATATTAAATCAAACTCACATTGTCCCCATTTGCCAGTTTTGGGATTCAAAAAGTTGGGATATAATCCTTTGGGTTTTTCAATATCTTTCAAAATCTGTCGTATGGTCTGGACGCGTTCCTTGTACAATGGATTGCCGGTGATGTCACTCAAATAACTAAATTCCAAATGTAGTGTACCAAATTCGGATAGAATTGAACTTGCACCCGATGCCCAACCATAATTTTTACTCATACCAGTTTTAGGATTAACCAAACCATATGGAATACCAGTTGGTGTTTGGAATGCAGGTAATAGCTTATCGGCAACATGTTGTGCTTTGTCTTTGTATAAATTATCCCCGGTAAAGGCGTACATGGTTAGTAGGCCGCCAATAAAACGAATATTCGTTTCGAATACTGACAAATCAGCGGTAACATTATCGAGAGAGAATTTACGTTCAATCCAGTCACGACCTTCTTTATATTCATTCTCCAGACCCATTATGTAGAGAGTATCGAGACCATCGATTATTGTGGCACCCAGCTCTTGGGAACCAAATATGCTACCGATGTGGGCACGTTGTGATAGTGGGCGCAGCTCATTTTTACCCCATGCGTAAAGTTTGTAATTTTGCCAGGCATGTTGCATCATCTGAAAAAGAAGAAGAATTGGAAAAACAATTAGTTTATGGGTTGGTCGAAATCGTAGATGCATGGGCAGGTATTTATTAAAAATCTGTTGTGTTAAAATTGGGGTGGATTTGTGTTGAAATCAAATATTTTTCTGAGGTGCCTGATATTTAGCCCTATAAATAAATACACATTCTCAGCAGGAAATTTGCAATAGAAAAATACTACTTATCCTTCATAAAAAAATATCCGTAGCAACACATTTTGGGGGGCCTCTGGAGGATAACAAGTTGGACAATTCAATAACTGACTTGCCTAGTAGTCCCATCAGCAGCTCTTTGTTTTAAGCTATTAAAACTTTCTATTTTTTGGTCATTATATTTAATCTCCTGATATTAATTTATTATGCCCAATAGTATGCAATACTCTGACATTTTTTCTAATGCCCCTAAGATTATACTATGCCAAATTGATATAATCCGTATAAAAACGAAGTTCTTCCAGATTAGTCTGACGGAAGACAAAGATGAACAGACCAAAGACACATTTCATGAGAGCCTAGAAACAGCATATGACCGATGCTCTGGCCATGACTGTTATGAGATTTTAATGCAAAAATCAGAAGGGAAAATATGTTTGGCCCCACCATCGGAAAATTCAGCATCCATGAAGAAACATCAGATAAGGGCATGAGGTTGACTGAATTCGCGGCAGCAAACGATCAAACAAAGAGAAATCAAATTGAACATATTGTAATAGACGGAAGGCAGTCATCCAGTGTTTTAGACGTTTGATCGATCCGAAGAGCAAATATCGATTCGGATCACTACGTTGTAGCAGCCAAGGTACGCAATAGTCTTAATGCAGCAGAAAAGGTGCGATCTAAAACAACACGAAAATTCAACGTCGCAGCTGCAAACACAACAGATAGCAGAAGCCTACTCCGCTCAACTTAACCACCTGCTTGACGAAAGGACTCATTGTCCCGATAATAATATGGAGGCAACATGGCAAAAAATTGCACATTTCCTACAAACGGCAGCAATAGCAATACTTGGGTACCAAAGACCACCATCAAGAAGTCCGTGGAACAATCAGGAGTGTCTTAATGTTATTGATGTGAAATATAAGCAGCGTTTTTCACAACCCTGCAGATAGTAGCAATTGAAGTGCCTGATATTTAGCTCTAGAAAAATACACATTCTCCGCATAAAAGGGTTATAAAAAGTTGGGCAATTCAATAACTGACTAGCCTTCTATTCCCATCAGCAGCTTTTTGTTGTAATCTATTAAAAATTTTTCCCATATTATTTGTTCATTTTATTTTATCTCCTGATATAAATTTATTATGCCCAAAAGTATGCAACGCTTTGGCATTTTTTCTAATGCCCCTAAGGTTATACTATGGCAAATATCTGCCAAAGCAATAAAACGTTTATTAAATATTTAAAATAATAATCTCACAGCAATTAAATTAATATATAAATAAACATTTACATAGTTACAACAACAACAACAATGAAAAAATACCACCAACAACAATTGCTAGCCAAAATCACACCATTGTTGTTTTTATGATGTTCACTATTAGTGAAGTTCTCTAATACCTTAGGAAGGAATAGCGGTTGGTCGGTGATTACATAATTTGGTCCATAGGTATTTCTGTGTATTTTTCGGTGGTTTTCGGTTCATGAGCCAGCATATAATACAAGCTAGACAAATGCAGCAGCAGCTTACCATAGCCAACTGGTTGGTTGGATGACTGGCTGGCTGGTTGGTTGCTTCGCTGTCTGACTGCCTGGCATTGTGCCAGGAACCATTTCAAAATTTTTAAGTCAAACAATGACAGAATGCCAACATCAAAGCCTCAACAATGTCGCTCTTGTTCATTGTTCCATGAGCATTGTGTTTTATTGCTGATGTCGTAGTAGTAGTTGTTATTATTTTTTTTTGGTTTAGTTGTCAATGTTTGTTCCCTCTCTCTCTCTCGCTTAGCAGCTTTATTTTAGTTTGCTTGTGCTCCAGACAACAATAGAACTAATGGCCTAAAATGCTCGCCACCAAACTCAGACAATAGCTGGAGGAGGCGGAGGAGGCTGAGGGGAAGGAAAAGCCTAACGGAAGGTTGAGAAAAGCTGCTTAAATGATCATTTAAATAAATAATTGTTATTTGAAACTGTCTCCGGTTAGCTAAGGATTTAATTGAAATTAATGCCTATGGGCAATATAATATATTTTATGTGTATGTATATAAATATATATAAAGGGTAGAACGGAAGGGCAAACGACAACAATTTATTTGTGGCGGATTAGATAAAAGGCTAATAAGTGTAAACATTTTTTCAAGATAATATTAAAAAGTCATTTGAGCGTAGTGTTTGGTGCAGGGTAGGGTATTGCGGTTATCAAATATCTGGCGAATGGATACGCAATGTTTATTATTGGTGTATTTTATATGTGACAATCATGGATCATGTAGGGGATGATAGATACCAAGCAACGGCTCTGATTGGTTTTAGCATGGCAAAGCTCAGGTTTATTTTGGTCCCTCATTTGTGGACACCTACCTACTACTACTAGCTACTTTATATCATCCATTGAAATAGAGAGCTGATATTTGCCGCGAGTCACCCATAGAGCTATAAAAAAGGGTGAGGCGTATGGCTAGTTGTCCACACTAGTAAACCCCTCCTACTATGAAAAAGTTAAGAAAAAGAAAACCAAAGCCCCTAATGTTGACGACCCCCTCAAGCGTACATACATATATAGGACCAAGATCCGCGAATCTGCATATGGAATCTGCGCAAGTTGTACAGAACAGGCACAGTTTTCGCTTTGGCTGATGTACTCAAGAAGTACCAAACCGGCTTTGTTGCCTTATAAGAAATGCGATGCCAAGGGACTGGCGTAAGTAAATCAGATGATTTACTTCATGTTCCATGGCAGCTATAATAGAGGTATGTATTATAGCTGTTATGAAACGAGATATGTATTTGGCTGCGGATTTATTGTTAACCGAAGAATAAATTACCTCATCTCGGATTCACTCTGAATTGCTATATTCCGTATAATAGCGAAGTTCTTCTACATTAGTCTTATTTGTGCCAAATATATATTTTTCGGGTGTCTAGAAAAAGGATATGTCCGCTGCACTGGCCATGACATTAAAATTCTGCTAGGAGATTTTAATGCAAAAATCGGAAGGTGAAAATATTTTTGGCCCCACCGTCGAAAAATTTAGCCACCATGAAGAAACATCAGACAACGGCATGAGGTTGATTGACTTTGTGGCAAAAAAAAACATGGTAGTTAGCAGTATTCGATTCAAGCATCTCGGTATACACAAGGCCACTTGGATTCCACCCGATCAAACAACGAGAAATCAAATTGATCATGTTATGATAGACGGAAGGCATTCATCCAGTGTTCTAGACGTCCGATCCGGGGAGCGAATGTCGATTCGGACATATAGAAGCAAAAAGGCAAAGAATTGCCCACTCCCTACATACTGCAGCAAAGGCAACACTTCGGTACCAAAGACCACCATCAAGAGCCCTGTGGTACGATTGGGAGTTGTGTAATGCTACTGATGTGAAAAGCGCAGCGTATAGGACAACCCTGCAGACAGTAACAATACTTAATGCGTATTTTCAGAAGAAAGAACAAGAAAAACGCGAGCGTGAGCAAATCGAGATGTACAGGAGTAAGAATGAAGTCTGGAAGGAGCATTTTGCAAAGCTACTGGTATACACATGGTGGCGAAGAAGAAGAGGTGTTTAAAGCCATGTTTGCGTTCGGCATTTCCGCAAAATTAATACTGCAATGCAGGATAACTATAACTGGCACAATGTCAGCAGATAGAGTCGTAAAGGACCTCTCGGAGCCCTTTAATACCGAACGAGGATCTAGACAAGGTGTCAGTTAACATCCTGCTGGAAAAGGTCATATGAAAAGCAAAGTTGAACAGAAATTACACGTAATCTGGCGAGAAGACCAAACTGACGTTCAATAGACTCGGGCCTATTGTAGAACTTGAGAACAACAGCTGTGAGGCAGTCAAAAAATTTATATTCCATGGTTCCGCCATAAATAAAACTAATGACATCAGGTTTGAAATTCTTAGTAGAATAGTGTTGATAAACAATTCAAAAACAAGGTCACCTGTCGCCAGAACAAATTCACACTATACAAGACGCTGATACTACCCGTGCTGGTGTATGGATCAGAAGCATTGGTACTTATGCAAGCAGAAGAGGCAGCTCTTGGAATCTTTGAGAGAAAAATTCTCCGAAATATCTATGGATCTGCGTCGACGGTGACACACATGTCTAGATCGACGCAGATGGTCGAGATATAACTACTAAAATGTGGGTCTATGACCAATATTTCGCGGCGTTACAAATTCTGGAGGCCGTACAAAGCTATAATATGGCGGGTGACTCATCAATTCATCAATACGGCGGATGAGTCATCAATTCATCAATACGGCGGATGAGTCATCAATCAAGTTGTGAGCGGTAAAAAACGGGTGTGGAAGAAAGAGACGTGAAGAAGCATACCAGCAGCTATTTTCAACAAGAGTAAACGTATTTTACTGTCTGGTGCTCATGTTGGTGAAAGAAGCGCTGTTTATTGGAAATTGATTGTAAATAACACAACACATGGTGGTACGCATTAACGCGTACTGAGTATGTTTATCACATAAAATGAAGAGGTATGAGTGCCAGACCTTGCTTACTTATCTTCAAAATATTTTTTCCTAAAAATCGCTCAATTTCGAATTTTATATTTGATTTACCCTATCCAAACTCAGGGAAAGTTGTAAAAATGCACATTCGACACTATGTTAAAAATGTGTTGAAAATTTAAATCGACAGCCTTGAAGTTTTTTTTTCAAATATTTCTCTCTCTTAGATATATGTAGGTGTAAAATGTTATACTTATATTACAAATTATAATAGATGTTATAACCACATCCAACAGCTCACGTTACCATACACATGGCAGTCGCAGAAAAAAGGT